CTCGGCTGGCCTTCTCCACGTGGATGAGCTCGTCGGGAAACGTCAGCAGGTTGGGGTAGGACTGTTCACACTGTTCAGCCACGAAGTGCAGCAGCGTCAGCTTCTGATCCGAGGACTTCGTGTCTCGGAGCTGGTAAAAAAGAACAAAGTTGTCACCAGAGGAGGTCTGTATGAAAAGTATTTATCCATCAGCCCACAGCTATTCCCAGGCCCACCTGCAGGTTGCTAGGAAATAAACAGAGTGTAGGGATGAGCTGCCCGTGGAAAAGCTCTCACCTTGCAGAGAAAGCTGATGTTGAATCCAAAGGCCCCGGCATTCCGGGAACCGGCGTTCATGAAGTTGCCCACGAGCAGAATGAACTCCAGGAGGCCGGAGAAACTCTCACTCTTGCGCACTTCTTCGCAAGCTGCCGTCACCGAAACGATCTCGGGCTTTATGTTCTCTATCTGTTCATTGAACTGCAGCTTGAAGAGGATGGCATTGAGCCGGGGTCGAAGGCGAGAAACTGAGCTAATCTGAGAAGGGAACGGCAAAGGAAAAGTGTTCACAAATAAAGGGGGAGAAGTGAGGTGCTCTGAGAAAGAAGGGGGTGAGAACAGACGGTTACTCACCACGAGCTACAGCTCCTACAGACCCACTCTATGGGAGCGGGTGTCAAACCTCCCGAGTCCCAAAGACGCCCAGAGCAGTTGCTCTTCAGAGACTCTCACCCACTCACACTTCAGGCATCTGCCTTTAACCCACACACCACCTTGTAACGCAGACCCTCCCCACCAAGAGAAGATTAAGTCAAGGTGGMGGAGGAGGCAGGTGAGCAGCACAGGATGCACAAACACAGCAGCAGCAGCAGCCTTTTCTACTGCACAGAATCACCACAGCCGTTCACTCTCAGAAGACCAGATCCAGGGCACATTAAAGCCTRCAGTCCTGTGGACTTCAGACACCTCCAGCACTTGTTTTGTGCAGGCYTCAGTCCAAGTCCAAGGCAGCTACAAGCACAGGGATCAGCAGGGGAGTAACGCACAAGTTTTTGTTTCAAGAGAGGAGAGAGAGGCTTCTCCTGGGATGCGCTGACTGATCTGGTCCCAAGGGACTATCAGCCAGCCCAGCTGCCACAGGATCCTGCGGCAGGACCCACACATCCCTGAAGCAGCTCGTTAGGCCAGGCCTTCTGCTTCTCACTGCTACACTGAGCGAACAGTTACCAACCAACTGGGGTTGGTAACTGGAATAGGAATAGACATTCCTGTTCAGAGACAGCACAAGGAGTGCAGAGCTGCGGTGGGACAGCATACAGGGAACAAAGCAGTGAGAAATGCGATTTCTTAATTAGAAAAAGGTGCTGCTGCATCTTTCTTGGCTCAAGCAGAGGGAAAGGCACTCACCACAACCCCAAACTGCTCCGGTTCTGCCAGGTCATTGTACTCATCCTTCAGTTCGGCGAGCATCTTCAGCTGCTCTGGCTCTGGCATTTGCTTGATCAAGTTCTACAAGAGAAATGCAGACGTGGGGTTCTGGTACCCTGGTCCCAACACAAGCAACTGACGGAGATGTCCAAATGACAGTGTAAAAAGAGCCTGGTTACACTCTATGCTCTTCCCACACGAGAAAGGAAGGAGATAAAAATTTCAGGAAAGCTCTGCCGTGAACTGGGTCGCTATCTCCCAAACTGCAACACAGCAAAAGCTGGGAAGCCGCCACGTACACAACTGTCCCTCCTGCGTGYGCCCAGTCCACAGGCTCACCTGGATCATGGACTCGGTGAGCACAGCTTCATTCACCTCCAGGATGACAGTCTTGATTTCTTCATAGGGCATGCGGAAAGAGCCCAGGA